GAAAAAAAGTTCAACAATTGAGAATACTACAAACTCATTGATATTTTACTTTGTTCCATTTCAGAAAGGAAGTGTAACATATTAACCTGTGTGCCTATGAATAGATTTTTTCCCTAGGCAAAAAACTCTGCTCACAACTGCCCTAGCAAAATTTGAAATCTTCTTTAAAAAAAATCTATAAATTAAAAAAAGAGTGTCATTACTCCCTATGGGATCCTTATGTGAAAGGAAAGTTCAAGCACCTTGTGCCATCCCTTTCCAAATTTATGAAATTGGATAAACAAAAACAATTGAATGAGGAAAGATTTCTCTGTAGAATTTCACATCCTGTTGCCTGAATTGATCTGATATATTAAAAAGACATGCCAACTGGTATCCAGACCTCCCTTAAAATCTTCATGAGTAGAGTAACAAGCAGACAGTTACCATGGTGTTGAATCCACAAAGCCTTCATTGTGTGGATATAACCAGTATACTTGGTAGAGCCCCTAGGCTAGAAGCTGATTTAATCCTAATTTATTGAGAAGGTGTTTTCTGATTATCATTTTAAAAAGTTCCAGTGTGAGCTGAGCCCCAGTTCTGTATCTAAAGCATTTTTATTTTGTCAAATGAATGCTTCACTAAACTAAATTCCTTGAGAATGTTGACTAATTCTTTCTTATCTCTGTTATTTATAGAGTTAATGCTATGTCTGGTGCATAGTAATCACTTAGTAGATACCTCATGCTAATGAGAGACAATAATACAGTAGGGTAGAAGATGATTGACAATAAATTGGTTCTTAAACTCTAGCATATAATGACAGGGTCAAGGAGAATGGACCTGCAAAGAAAAAAAAATCACCAATGGTCATAGAAATGGAAGATAAATTAGAATGGCATCATGAAGTTAAAGGAAGGAGAATTTCAAAAAGAATAGTATGGTCAACAGTGTTATGTATTGTCAGATAGCAAGAAAATAAAACTTTCCTTTAACTTCAGTGACATGATCATTTTATCGAGCAGCATTTTATTAAGAAACCATATTGAATGTATTAGAGAGTGAACAAGAAATGGAAAATACATCCAGTAAACTGGACAACTCTTTCAAAAAGTTTGCCTTTGTGGAAGATAAGAGAATGAATAGAGGGGAACATGGGGGATAGGGGAGGGTTTTTTTTAAAACTAGGAATCAATAAAGTATGCTTAAATTTCCTATGAGGAATGCACGTGAGAGGGAGGGTTTGAATTTATAATAGATAATATTACATTGATAGACTCGGATGCCTGAGAAGAAGCGAGAGATTAAAGTCCAAAATGCAGGTAGTGGGACTGACTTTGGGTAAAAGAAGGGAAACTCACTCAAATATAAGAGAAAGTAAAAAAGATGACTACACATACAGGTATGATAGAATGTTTGGACACAGGAAGTGGAACAAAGTCTAGTCTGATATTTGTACTTTTCTCTGTAAGGTAGATAACAAGGTCATCTTCTGAGAGAGCTACAGAAAGAGGGTGGGTCAGAGCTTTGAGAGCTTTGGAAAAAAGTTTTAAATACTTTTTATGAAGAGTCAGAGCTCAAGGGGAAAAATAACTATGACAGGGTGCTGGGTTCATTTGAGGCTGTTGATCATTGCCTTAGTTTGAGTTCCCCCAAGAGTAGATCTGGAGACAAGGATTTAGGTGCAAATAGTTTATTTGGAAAGTAATCCCAGGAAACAAGATAGGGAAGTGAGATAAGAAAAAGAATGCATCCAACGAAGGATGATACAAGAACAGGGATCAGGTTATTGCTGGGGGTTCGATCCTGCAGTAAACTCTGTGAGACACTGTGTGTAACATACTTCAGGATTGTCCAACTAAGGGGCAAGGGAGCTGGGATATTCATCTACCAGCTCCAAGCTCTTACTGCTTAAGGGTCATTCCTGAAGTATTAACATCCCAGCATTCCTGATCCGTCCAATACACTGGGAAATGCATCCTTGCAGGCAGAGAAACACAGAATTTTTTACGTTGGGCCAAAGGAAAAACAAAAATGTCTCTTTTAAGATATTCTGATGGTAGACATATAGTTGACTGGTTTTCGTGGGTAACTGAATGACCATAGTCAAAGATTATGGATTAAGTGAGTTAACATCAATGAAGGGAAGAAGGAGAGAGAGAGAGAGAGAGAGAGAGAGAGAGAGAGAGAGACGTTTATGGCATTGAATAGGAATCTATTTTTAATAAACATTATGAATGAAGAAATAGGAACCCAACAATTAAACTTATGTATGAGACAAATATAGAAAAGATAACAACCATATATGATAAAATAAAAATCCATAAATATTTACAATGCACACACAAATGAAAGAAAAAATTGACTTTCAGTGACATGGGATTTGAAGGAACTCAGATTCCTGTTCCTTCAATTTCTAGCGGGGTAGGCTTGGTAAATGACAGCTCGATAAATAATTTTTTCTATGAACCAGGGCCTCTTTGAGGCCAAGGACGTAATGGTGAACTAGATGAATTAAATTCCTGACCCATGGTACTAAGAGTCTGAGGACAATTAACTTAATTTCCCTAAACCTCCATCCCCTTCTATGGGCAGTGAGATCGGTAATACCTGACCACAAGGTTTTGTAAAAATACAAAATGTGAATATATTTTTTTTTAGGATTTTGTGTTCGGTGAAGTTCTCTATTAGTTTAATTTTAAAATAATAACTTGCAACTAACATAAAAAATTCTGAGGGATTTATGCAATGCAAGTCCTGAAATTTCAGTTTAAGGAATCAGTTCATAAGTGTGTGATAGTTAATAAGTTGTGATATAGATGGCTTAATGATAGTTTGTGTGAAAAAATCCTAGAAGTTTTAACTCAACTGAATTTCAATGTGAGTTGAAAGTCTAATATTGAAGTGAAAACATTATAATTTTAGGCTGCATCAGTGAAAGTACTGTAAAACAAGAAGATAATTGTTTATTCCTCCCTGTTATACTATATACTACTGATATATTCCCTTTAGGTGCCAAAAATTAAGGAAACTAAGATATTAACAAACCATGGAATACCCACTGAAGTAGCTAGGAGTAGGATAGGCTGATGATCAAGCATTTTCTAGTGGATACAAAGAGCTGATTTCAAATATTTGAGGGTTGTAATGAAAAGATATAGTATGGTGATAGAAGTGCTTTTATTTGGTGTCTTAAATCTTGTATTTTTATTCTACTCTACAAATTTCTCATGAAAATTAAGTAAGTCATTTATTTTTTCTGGGGACATTCATTTGTTTGGTTTGCTTTGCTTTGTTTAATATACTGTTAGAGGAGCTCTAAATTCCCTTTAATAGATGTTTTATTGATATTGATATAATCTAGAAATTCTTTCTCAAGAAAAATGTACACACATTCAGAATTGCCCCTGAAATTTCAAGTGGTTCTTAGATAATTTCCCACCTTATGACTCAGCCATGACTCCTCTAAAATCTATGCTTTCTTTAAGTTTTAAAAAATTTATTTTAATATTTATTGTGATTGAAAAATTATAATGTTATATATTTATGATATAAACCTGATGCTTTCATATATGTATACATTGTGGATGGTTAAATCAAGCTAATTAATATATCCATTACCTCACATACTTATCAGATTTTCGTGATGAGAACATTTGAAACCTATTCTCTTAGCTAGCAAGTTTCCACTATACAGTGCAGTGTTATTAATTGTATCACCATGCCATATAATAGATCTGTTGAACTTATTTCTCCTAACTGAAATACTGTGTACATTGGCCAATATATCCCCAAACACTCCCCATCCCCACCAGCTCCTGGCAATCAACGTTCTTTTCTGTTTCTATGAATTCAACTTGTTAAAATTCCACATACAAGTAAGATCACGCAGTATTTGTCTTTTTGTGCTTGGCTTATATCACTTAGCATAATGTCCTCCAGGTTCATTCATGTTGTCACAAATAACCAACTCTTCTTTTTTAAGGCTTAATAGTATTCCATTGTGTGTGTATATATAGCACATTTTTAATACATTCATTTGTTGATAGACACTTACGTTGACTCCATATCTTGGTTATTCTAGACCTCAGTCAGCTGATTATAGTGAACTGTTTATTTCCAGTAGCGCCAAAGGTCTCTGCAAATGTGTGTGTGTGTGTGTGTGTGTGTGTGTGTGTATACATGTATATAAAATGTTTGAAAATAAAATGGTAGGTGATCATATATTACATCATAACAACCTCCGCCCCCCCAAAAAACTTGATGACTTAAAACAGCAGTTATTCATCATTTCTCACAATTATGCAATGTGGGCATTTCTTTGGCTCTATGTGGTATCAGCTGGAGCACTCATTTGGCTGTTTTCAGGTGGAGTTGAGATAGGTCACAAGGTGACAAAAGGTTTTATTCACATGCCTGGTGCCTCATGTTCCTCCATGTGGCTTCTCTGCCTGGATAGACCAAGTCCCTTAAAGCATAGTCACCTCAAGTTGATCAGACTCCTTTTATAGTAGTTGTTTTTTCACAATGGCAACCCGTTACTCTTACTAATATCTCATTTGCCATAGTAAGTCGTATGGCCAAACCCAGAGTCAATATGTTTAGAGACTCCAGGAGGACATGAATATCAGATATGTGATTTAATGGGGACCATCAAAAGGAATTTTTAGTTTCTTGTAAGTACTTTCCAAAAAGAAAGTATCATCTTGGGAAGTAATTTTTCAAACAGTGTAAACATTCAAGCAGAGGCTAGGTAATAGCTTATAGGAGATACTAGAGAGGTGATTGCTACATTGAGGTGAATAAAATGACCTCCATGATTTTATAAGACTCTAGATCAAAGCTAACTCCAAATTTGAGTCTACCTGATGGGTGAAATAATGATGCTGTTAATAATAACAGGGGCATTGGGCAGGAGTCTCAGATAGGGAAATGAATGATAAATGTGGATAAATTGCTTTTTTTCGTATAGAAGAAAGAAATAAACAAGACATAATGGCCTTTATTCTTTGCTGTCTTAGGTTGGATGTCGATATAACTGAACTTCACAGTTGGATTACTCGCTCAGAAGCTGTGTTGCAGAGTCCTGAATTTGCAATCTATCGAAAGGAAGGCAACTTCTCAGACCTTAAAGAAAAAGTCAATGTAGGTTATGCATTAATTTTTCTCCATGTTCCTATTTTGTACTGCTTGTAAACT